CATTTGCCAAAGCCTCGGGGCGGCTTACAAATAAATAAATTAAAATACATAAATAACAATATAAAATACACATTTTATAAAACTGTATAAAATACACATAACTGTTCTGGCCTATGGCTTAAGAGCATAAGAAAAACCCTGCTAGATCAGACCAAAGATCTCTCTAGTCCCACATTCTAGACAGGATCACACAGCGGGCAAGTGTACGGTGGGAGAATCCACCAGCTGGACGTGAATGCAACAGCACTTTCCTGGTCAAGTTCCCCAGCAAGGGGTGGCCTAGGCATACTGCCTCTGGGACGAGAAGTGGCATGGAGCCATCAGGGTCAGTAGCTGTTAGTGGTCTTCTCCATCAATCTCTCCAACACTCTTTTAAAGCTGTCCAACTTGTGGCCATCACTACATATTTTTATTTTTTTTATTTAAAACTTATTTTAATTGTTAATTTATTATGTATTTTAGGATTTTAAATTTTATGCCGAGATGTTACCAAGTTTTTAATGAATTTTAATGTAATAACTGTTATTTATATATTTTAATTATGTTGTGAGCCGCCCCGAGGCTTTGTTGTGATGGGGGCGGCATAGAAATGTTTTAAATAAATAAATAAATATTGTGAAAATGAATCCGATAATTTAACTATGTGCTTTTTGTCATGAATATCCTCCCAATCAGCTTCATAGGATGACCCTGGGTTCTAGAGTCATGGGAGCAGAAGAAAATCTTTCCCTCTCTACATTATTTATGCATAATTGGTGGCCATCTCATCATCTTGTGGAAGCAAATTCCTTAGTTTAAGAAGTATTTTCTTTTATCTGTCCTGCATCTCCCACCAGTCATGGGATGACACCAGATTCTGTGGGGACCATTGTACCACATTTGTAGTCTGTGACTACTTTTAAACGAATAAGTAATGTGTGGACCTGTGTGTGCATGCATGTGTCTATATGTACACATATGGAGAGAGGGGGAGACACAGACAGAATGGAAGGTATAAAGCTTTATGTAGATTTTCTCATTTATATATTATCTAAAAATACCCAAGGTGGATAAGCAATTTATCTTATTTATGAGGCATCATTCAAAAATGCCTTCGAAAAAGGCTAATTAAAATTTGGAGTGCCTGAAATGATAAAAGTAGTCAACAAACTCTTTAACCATTCAGAACCAACATGAAAAAGAAGCTAATTAGTGGTGCAGTTTTCAAAGGCGCAGTACATCTTCCTCCATCCCTGAGGCTTATTTTAATTTGTAAAACTGCATTACAGGCCTTGGAGTCTGAGTGCACTCAATAAGTAGACTGGTCATCTATTGAAACATTTCAGAAAATACTCCTTATGCACTCAAAGCACATGGCCAAAAAGGGGGAAAAGGGTAAAGAAAAATTCAAGTAATATAATGTAAAAGCTCTATTCTGCCTCTGGTACTATTTAACTTTTCAGTATGATTGTTTTCAATAAAAGACAAAATGTTTTGTTACAAAAATAAAAGTAACAGAACATAACATCAGTACTTTCAAAACCTGTCTCCTTTTGGTCAGTATGTAGAAGAAGACAGGAAATCCCAGACTATTTTTGAAGGTAAACAATTTAAAGGATGTCATCCCTGGAAAAAAAGGCTTTAACAATAAATATGATCCAGTGTAATGAAGAACTATAGCTTGTTGTTACATGAAAACCTGCAGCAAACCTTGGGCTCTCTCACACACACATACAGAAGAGAAGATTCCATTCATGGGCTACTTCCAGATGGACAGCTGCTAGTGCTGTCATCAAAAGGCAGCTACTCCATCTTTTCCTCCTTAACAGATGTTTGGGGTAAAGGAAAACATGGAAGAAGCAATGAGAAAATACAGAATGCCTACACATGGAAGGCATCACCTGGATTCCCCATAAAATTTCATGAAGGAGGCAGTGTGATTTCATAATAAATGCTTTGTCTGGAAGCACCCATGGTTTGCAACAAGCTACGATTTCTCATTTTGCAGTAAGAGCTTTTCACCACTGGACAAGGCAGAAATTCTGAGTGGAAGTATTTAAGCTGAGGCTAGATGGCTATGAGGTAGAGATACTGTAGTTGCATTCTGCACTGCAGATCCTGCATTGAAATGGGGTTGGGCAACATGTCCTTTAAGTTCCTTTCCAAGCTTATACAACGTCAGACTATTGGTGAAGGGGGCTACAGGATTGAAGACTCCTGCTTCCCTCCCTGCCTCTCCCTCTCCCCCTCCCACAAACACACACAGATTCTGCAGGTACAGAAAACTACCACTTCAGTGACAATTGAGCCTAAACTCATCACTCTGACAGGTGATGCTTCTAAGGTCTCTGGTTGTTTTTGGAGGGGAAATTAAATGGTTTTCCCATTCCCTCACCAGAAATTTGAAGTACTGTACTAGTCCCAGAAGATGTCTGCAAACATGTAGCTCACCCTTTACAGAATTCATAGTAAGATATCTGTCTCTTTTAAATATGGACTTCCCTACCTCTTCTAGCTCCACTCTTCATGGGTGCCACCCATTGTGTCTGAGAGTTGCTTCACACACTATTTTTCTAATATATGTGCTCAGGCTGTCGAGAGCACCATGCCCAGCACAAGATGGGAACTGTTATGCAGATGCATACATACAGAATGCCCGATGTCCCCTTGAGAAGGACTTCTTCACAGGGCGCAAAACACGCGGTAGCAAGTCTGCGATCATTACACCAGCCTGGTATTCAGGCACTGACCTGGAAGCCACGGGGGACAAGGAACAGCATGCAGCTGAAGGGGCAAGCAGGCCAGGGAGAGACAGAGCACCCCACTCCTCCTCAGTGCCCAGCACAGGCGCCAAGGGCTTTCTGACAGGAGACTTTTAATGTGCCACTTTTGGAGGCTTCTGCCTCCAGATTTTTTAGCGGTTCCTTTACAAATGATTCTGCCCCCCCCACACCCCCGAAGTTTCTATCTCTGCCTTTCTATATGCTCTTTTACACAACCACTAAGTACTGGAGTGGTAGAGTGAAATGGTAGAAATAGAGAGGGTTTCTTGCTGCCATTCATGGAAATATCAGACTTTCCCTACTAAGAAGTGAAACAAAAAGCCAAATGTTACAATGGCTCCAAACAACTGGAGAGGCCCTGGAGGACGACACTGTCAGGTAAAATAGCTGCAAACTACCACAAGTGAGGAATCGTGACTACAAAACAAATGCCTTGTATAGAAAGTTTCCAAGTGGATGCAAAAGGAGGGAAGCACCTTCTTTCACTCCTGGTATGGAAATGTAGTGGGTTGCTGCAGAACCAAAGGTGCTCCCTTGCTTTGCTGGCCCACAACAGGCTAGTAGTACTCCCCATGCACCCCCCCCCCCCGGCTAGTAACTTATTGGACCTTGAGCAAATATTGGACCACCCCATCCTGCTCCTTCAACCCAACCTATCACATAATTAATCGATTAATCACATTTGCTGAATGCATTCCCCAGAAAAATACACACTTAAAAAGAAGGAAGAGATGCATTTTCATGCTTTAGTCAGTGGGGACAAAAATGGGATTTGGCTGCATACTTTAAAAAATCTGCACTTTTCCCATTCAAACAACAGCAAAGAGTTCACTCCTGGGAATGAGATGGATGGAGTCAAGCTCTGAGATGGGACTCGGAGAGCCTTGATGAGCTTGTGCCTCACCAGTCCCCCCACATCCCTGCCCCAGAGGCTGCCCCCAAACTCTCCTCTTGGCTGCACCAGGACCTGCGCTCACCAACTGCTCTGTGGGAAGGAGCACCAGATGCTGGTTCTTGCTGCAGCCATGCTTGTTGTGCTGAGTCCTGTTGCTATGTGTTTCTGGCACATCTATTGTATTTTATAAATGTTTGTAAACCATGTTGAAAAATAAGATATAAATCTGCTAAAGAGGCAAACCTCTGCCTCCTAGACAGTCATAGGTTTGTTTAATGTTGCAGAATAGCTCGGGGAAAAGATGATGAGGGTTATTGGTCAAAAGCACTAGCCAAAAAGAACTCACCACAGCCAACTTTGCCCTGTGAAGCCATGCAGATATCTTTATTCCAGGAGATTAAAATTTGAGTTGTATGATTGGAGATCCCATTCCTATGAACCCTATGTATGCCTTGCTTGGATATCTCTAAAAAGTTAAAAGTGGGCATCCAGACGGTAGGACATCTTTAACCATTGCTAACTTAGCTATTGCTGGTAAATGGAGACAACCAGACAGTGAGTGTAATGAGGGAGCCATTGTGGCGTAGTGGTTAAGAGTGCTGGATTGTGACTTCAGAGATCTGGGTTCTCAGCTATGAAGCGCACTGAGTAACTTTGGGCCAATCACTTCCTCTTAGCCTAACCTACCTCACAGGGTTGTTGTTGTAAGGACAGAATGGAGAGAGGAGAACCTTGTAAGAGCTCCTTCGATTCCTTTCAAGAAAAAGAAAGGTTGGATATAACCATGATGTAGCAATCATAATAATCTTATTCCTTTTATTGAAGAATGGATGGATAGGCTAGCAATATGCTATATTGCTCCAATGGTAAAGTTAGTAGAATGTGTTCATCTACAGGACAGATCCAAAATATGAACAATTGTGGATGCTATTTATTATTTATATGAAACCATTTGATTTGGACATCAATAAATTTGGCACTTTTGAAATGTTCCTCATACATTTTTGAGAAAGATATTGGACAGTATCTATACTGCATATTGGAAAAATTCAGATGAGTTTGCTTGGCAATTGGTAATAGTATATAAGTTTTATTTGTTAATGGAATTTTATGTGATTTGTGATTGTTTGTTTTATATTTGTAAATTTTGGTAAATTCATATTTTAAAAAGTAGTTTCCAAAGCTTGCTCCAGAAGGAGGAGGAAAAGTACGCTTGTTTACAGAGCACTGAAACAGAGTCCAAAGTGTCAATGCGGCTCTTATGGTACAATGCAAAGCATTTCACCAATACATGCTGAAATCTGCCCTCCAGCCCCCTGTCCCCTCAAGTGCCATATACTCACAATATCTGGGTGCTCCGTGGGAGGTCAGGGATTAAATGTATTTCCACGCAGGTGATTTTGTAGTGGTCCCAATCTGAACAGTCACACAGGGATGATGGGCACACGTCTGTGCCCATAACTCTCCATCCCCTTTCCAGTAGAAGCAGCAGCAGAAGGAAGTCTGGTAGCCACAGCATCTTCCTGAACCTACTGCTGCAGCAACTTCATTGTTGTGAAGAACCCTTCCTCACAGAAAGTGAAGAAAAGGGAACCAGGTTCCCTTCTCTGAGACAAGGACGGGGGGATGCTTGTGTCTCCTAAGAAAGAGAACCTTCACCCGCTTCTCCCTAAAAGGAAACAAGGTGCAATAAGCAAAAACATAAAAATGATATTGTAGGCACACCAATCTCCCACTTCTATGCCCCTGCTAAATCCACAAGCTGCGATTTACTACTATTCCCATCCTCAATACTACCATTACCACAGCCAGTTCTCTGTATCATCTCCCATCTCAGGAATTCCATAAAGCTGAAATTTAAAGGAAGGAAGGAAGGAAGGAAAGGAGGTGGAGAAAAAGGGAAAAAGTAAAGATAATAAAAGACCCCAGCTGTTCAGATGGGAAGAGTTCCCAATGATTGTTTTGAAAAACCTTTGCTTTATCAAGGGCAAAAGTTTGTCTTCCCAAGTAGTTCAAAGCAAAAATATAAAAAATTCACACTGTTTTAAGAGTGCTGACTTCCTGTCAGTATTCTAGCAGACATTCTTCACTTGCTTTCTCATCTCTTGTAAAAGAATCAAGGTTTTAACTGACCTGAATGGTATGACAATCCCAGTACTATCCCATCCACCACTTTTCCTGCTCTTGGATTGGATGCCTTCTTATACTATTCTCTCTTCCATACATGAATCATTTCACTGACTGATTTTAATTAATGGACAAGAGCAATGCAAGAAGGAAAGTATGCTACTGTACAAGATAAAGAAGCATGTGGGGAGATTTCATTTTGACTTGAGATCATATTATGCCAGCAGTGCCAAGCACACTGTAGTGAAGAGGGCTCTAATCTTTTAGCAATATTTATTTATTTTATTTTCTATATCCCCCAACAACAAAGCCCTCTACCTTGCTCTCAACTACTGAGAAAAAGGCATAGTCCATCTTTCCCCCCATCTTAATGGCTGTCTTGGGTGGGGGGAAAAAGAAGTGGCAAGAAGTGGTGGGAAGCCATGAGAGGATATGGATGTTGTCTGGACCTCTGTCCATGAAGAAGGCAGGGTGACTGCATGATAAACGTTTGGAAGCACCCTGTGGACACAAAGATGATCAAGCAGTGAGAAACTGTATGCAGAAAGACATGACATGCATATGAAGACCTTTGCCTTTGATCAGGAGAACAGATTGTTCAATTAAGGAGAATGCAATAATGTATTATCAAATATCTTAAGAATCTGGGGCAAAGAGTTTAAGTCACTATCAGCTTAAGGTAGCTCATGATCTAGAATCGCAAGAAAATCTTGCGAACAATGTTGAAAAAAAAGTAATGCTGAACAGTTAAAAAAGTTTGGTTCATATTGTTATGAGAGATATAATGAGAAATACTCAGTTTTACTATATAGAGGAATATGAAATGAGATGTCAGACAGACAGATGCCTTGAATATTTTCAGGTAAAATTACAGAATAGCACGGTTAACTAATAGAGTAAAATCAGGGGGTTAAAAGCTGAACAGTGCACTCTATACTAGTCTACTTAGAAGTAAATCCCATCCAGTTTAGCAGGCCTTATCCCAGGTAAATATTTATAGGATTGCAGCCTTAGTTGTCACTAAAACAAGACAAAAATGCAAAAATATATAAATTATTGTTTAAGCTAAAATATTAACCAGAACAGGATAAATAATGAATAACTGAAAGATTTTAACCTGCCTTTACAAATATCACCAATATTTTTGAAAGCTGGGGAATATTTCTGGAAAGAAAAATCACACATTTTTCTTTATGGACAAATGAGAGAGAGGATTGTTTTCTATAATAGATAGATAGATAGATAGATAGATATGATGCAATGGTATTTGACTTCCAAAAACATAAGTAAAGTGAGCAATGCAATCTGCCCAAACTGGAACTCTAAAGTAGCAACTCTTATTGGGATGGACCAACTCAGAAGTAAGACTTTTTGGGATATTTTGAGAAAAGTAGAATTTCAATTTTATTCCTGGCCCTCTTCTAATATCAAGTATATGAGATCTTGACATTGGGAACTTTTTGCTTCCCTTGCCATGGAACTATTCATTATTGCCAAGTCAACAGAATGTGTTGATGGGCAGGAAAAGAGATTAAAACTGGACATGTTTACACAGAAAGAGGGAATGGAGATTTTACAAACCCAGAGCTTTGAGACCACATATTTACACTGCAAGCCTATGCCTGTTTATTCAAGAATTGTGCCACTGTGTACAATAGCATTTACTCCCACATAAGGGTGCATACAGGATGGTAGTGAGAAGTCGATTTATGCAGATATAATTAATTTTGTGACAAGATAACCACAGCAAATTCCCAAACAGAGTTTGACAGGGATTCTTCCAATCTGGATATGAGGGCACTGTGGGTTTATTCCGCTCTTAATGCCCTGCTTCCCTACAGACCAGCCTTTCCCAATCTAGTGCCCTCCGGGCGTGTTGAACTTCCGTCGCCCTCCTCAAACAGCCCGCAAGAGCGTCCGCCTGGGGATGATGGGAGCTGTTGTCCAACACAGCTGGGGGAACAGGTTGGAGGAGTCTGTGCTTAGCCATCAGGTAGAGAAACAGCCCTCTCCCAGTGCATCGCTCCTTCGCCTAGACCTCCCATCCTATTCTCCTCACTACCACCTCTTCCAAAAGTAACTCGCCAAGAAAAGCCGCAGGATCCCCGCAGCGACCTCGGGGACGCGTTCTCACGAGCGGCCCCCAGGTGGGACACCCCTGCTGGGGGTCGCGGGCTGCCCACGCGCTTCTCACCGGGACTCCAAACTGGGCGAGATTCACCGCCGGCTGCTGCGCTCCCTGCCCCTCCGCGGCGCTGCCCCTCCGCGGCAAGTGGGCGCCGGGCTGCCGAAGCCGCCTCGAGCACCGGTGATGCTCTCGCCCTGGGGCCAAGGCGCCGCCAGCCGCCCTTGCTGAGGCGAGGCGAGGCGAGGCGAGGCGAGGCAGCGCCGGGAGCTTTGCAGCAAGCGCGCTCCTCCGCCCGTCGGGCCGTCCCACCGCCCAGGCCGGCTTTGGGCTGGCCCTCGGTTGCTACCTAGCGGCGACCACAGAGACTGCGCTGAACAGACGACCGTCGGCAAGGCACGCAGGTGGCGGCAAATCAACCGCGCTCCCGCGCCCGGGCTGGCCGAAGACGTGCTGCTGACTCGGGTGAAAGGCACCCCCTTCCGCACAGACGCCAGCTGAAGGCCTTCCCAGGCGGACAGTGCTCCCCAGTATGGCGTTTGGTCGCTTTTTCAGGCTTTATAGCATTTTTAATAAATGATTTATGCAATGGCTTTTTAAAAATGGGTTAAATTGGCATCATTCCACGAACTCAGATAGTTCTACTCCATGTCCCAGTGCTCACTTTCATCCATGCAACCGTGACACTTGATCTTGTAAAGTCTGGGAACTGAACATCCAAATGCTTGGCTCCTCACAGTTAGGATTGGGCCATTAAAGCAACACTTGCTTAACCTTAACCATTGAGCAATTTATTGAAAGGACAGAGAAGGAAAGAGAAGGGAAGATATTCAAAAGGTCGGATTAAGCCAACAGGCATTTATAGGGTTAACATGGATACAGATTAATAGCAAATTGAAGCTTTTCTACATGAGGCTGTTAATCTGCTCTAATTATTGGTCTTGCTACAGAGCTGAAACCCAAGAACTAAAGGAATGTTTTCTGTCCTGCTCTTCTATTACCTAACCTAACTGGTGCTATGACAGGAAGAAAATTAATGCCCTCAAAACTTGGTGCTGGAGGAGGGGTTTGTGAATATCCTGGACTGACTGAAAGATGAAGAAGTGGGTCAAATTGAGTCAGAGCTTTCCCTAGAAGCAAAAATGACAAAACTGAGGCTGTCATACTTTGGACACATCATGACAAGGCAAGACTCACTGGAGAAGACAATCATGCTAGGGAAAGTCAAAGGCAGGAAATGAAAGGGAAGACCAAATATGAGATGGATTGAATCCATCGAGGAAGCCACAGCCTTGAACTTGGAAGAGCTGAGCGGGGCTGCTGTGGACAGGACATCTTGGAGGCCTTTCATTCATGGGGTCACCATAAATTGTAAATGATTTGATGGCACATAACAAAAACAGCAGCAACAACAAGGTGTTGCTATGGTATGGTGGAAGAGTGTAAGAGGAAATCACACTTTCTCTTGCTTTACAATTCCTGCATTTTCCTGCTCTAAAAAAAATCCACTAAAAGCTTTTGTTGTTGTTGTTTGCGAAGTCGTGTCCAACCCATCACAACCCCATGGTCAACATTCCTCCAGGCCTTCCTGTCCTCCACCATCCCCCGGAGTCCACTTAAGCTCACGCCGACTGCTTCAATGACTCCATCTGGCCACCTCATTCTTCGCCGTCCCCTTCTTCTTTTGCCATCTATTGTTCCCAGCATTAGGCTCTTCTCCAGGGAGTCCTTCCTTCTCATTAGGTGGCCAAAGTATTTGAGTTTCATCTTCAGGATCTGGCCTTCTAAAGACCAGTCAGTCCTAGAG